CTGGTTGGAGCTGTGTTGTGCCAGATGTGGGGCTGGGATGTAGGGGAAGGTTTTCCAGCCTCGGCATCTCCCTGAGGTTCAGGCACTGTACGAGATTTTGGGGGTTCTCTTTCTGGCAGGTGAATTTGAGAGGAGAATGGGACATTAAAGGTCGTTAAAGTGCTAAAAGTGATTTCGGACACGTGTTTTCAGTTCTGCTCTGAAATACATTGTGCAAAATTCGTGTGTTGCTTGAGTTTCCTGCTTCCAACAGCAACCCCTGGGCACAATAAAGACAAATATTAAAGAATAATAGTCAGCATTTACAGCAAAAAACATCTCAAAATTATTGGGATCCTTTCAGGCAGAAGCAGGGCTTAAACACAAAACTCAGGTTTGGGTTTGGGTTCTCCTTGTGCAGAAATGACCTTGGAGAACCCTTGGAGTTTGGTGCTGGGGCTTCACCCTGGTGAGGCCTGGGTTTGGTGGGGCTTGCTGGGATTTGATGGGGTTTGGGGGGTTAGGTGGGGTTGGGTGGGGATTAGTGGGCATTTTTGTGGGTTTTTGGTGGGATTATCATGGAATTTGTTGGGGTTTGCTGGGGCTTGGTGGGTTTTAGTGGGGTTTTGAGGGGTTTGGATGGGTTTTGGTGCTATACCAACACCTGTTTCTATTTCTCCAGCCCCCAAAGGACCCCAGTGTGTGGCTGTGGCAGGCACTGCCTTGGGATTTGGGGTTTGAGGCCAGGCAAAAGCTTCTCTGCACTTGTTCTTCCCCCAAAAAATCATAAGTTTGGTGAAAATAAACCACTGCGACGATCAGGTTGATTCTATTTAGGGTGGGGTTTTTTGTTTTACACATCAGAATTTTTTATTTTTATTTACAAGAGAAAAGTCCTGCAGCATCTGCCCAGGTGGGTGAGTTTGTGGTACCATCACCTGGCACTGTGAACACCACAAAAAAACCCTCTAGAAATGGACCCCAGAGCAATATTGAGGGGAAAAGTCAAGAAAAACCCTATAATAATTCATAAAACTGTTAAATATATATATGGTTTCATGGTTTGGGCCTGTTTCCTTAACCTGCTTTCCCTATTAGCTGCCTCTGGCCACCCACCAGCTTGGAAGTGTGCAGAAGGGGCTCTGAGTTTGGGATTTTGTTTAATTTCTAGACAACTCCCAGGGGAAAATACTGCAAAGTGTTTTCTCTCAGCAGAAACAACAACAAGAAATAAAACGACTTAACAGCTCCTTCCCATCCTCAGTTCCCATTCTGGGGGGACCTCCCAGACTCCAGGGCAGCACTGCCTGGTGGGAATTATCAAATCCTGGTGGGAATTATCAAATCCTGGTGGGAATTATCAAATTCCTGGTGGTTTTAAACTACAGGAGGTGACAGTTTAGTGGGAAGTCACTGGATTCTGGCACAAATAGAGGAACATTCTCATTGAAAGACCAGGCTCTGCTTGATTTTGAATCGTAAATTGAAGGAGTCAGGAGTTGTCCATAATAAAGATTATGGATAAGGTCCCTTTCCTGCATCCCTGCAGGGTTTTCCCTGCAGTTAAGCAGAAAAAAACACTTTTAAACTGCTTTCGAATTGCATTTAGGGGAGCAAAACTTAGAAAATATCCTTTTTATTTTCCCCTAGAGGTGCAAAGTTCCACCCAGAGCAAAAGCAGCAAAGCTCCAGCTCCATCCTCCTGTGGGGACAAGGAGAAAAGTCAACTTTCCCTTGAAATCAGGAGCACCAGGGGCTGTTTGATTCCCAGGAGCTGCTTTTCCCCCAGGGAATGGTGCCAAGGGCCCCTTTCATCCCCCAGCACGTGTGTTTGATGTTCTGCCTCCAAGGTGAAACGTGCCTGGCTGGACGTGCCAGAGTGGAATGGGACAGGGAGGGGACACGGCTGGGGTCTGACTGGGGCAGGGTTGGATCTGACTGGGACAGGGTTGGGATCTGACTGGGACAGGGTTGGGATCTGACTGGGACAGGGTTGGGATCTGACTGGGACAGGGTTGGGATCTGAGCAGGACAGGGTTGGGATCTGACTGGGACAGGGTTGGGATCTGACTGGGACAGGGTTGGGATCTGGTCAGGACATGGTTTGGATGTGACCAGGACAGGGTTTGGATCTGGTCAGGACAGGGTTTGGATCTGGTCAGGACATAGCTGGGACCTGATCAGGACATGGCTGAGGTATCAGAAACCTGCAACATCCTGGTGATGCTCCCAGGTCTGAATATTCTACACCTAAAATAATTGCATGGAGGGTTTCCAAACAGCAGGGAAATATTCTATTCCTATTCCTATTCCTATTCCTATTCCTATTCCTATTCCTATTCCTATTCCTATTCCTATTCCTATTCCTATTCCTATTCTATTCTATTCTATTCTATTCTATTCTGTTCTATAATTCTTCTATTTCTATTGTTATTAATCAATTCTGTTCTATTCTAATTAAATTTTAATTCTCTATTCTTCTGTAACGATATTTTAGTCTAGTCTATAATTCTCTTCTCATTCTCTTATTCTAATTGGTTCTAATTATCTTATGTTCTAATTCTCCTCTCTATTCTATACTATTCTATTTTCTTCTAATTATTCTCTTCTCTAATGCTACTCCATTCTATAATTCTTCTAATTCTATTATTCTACTCTACTGTGTTCTATTTTAATTATATTCAATTCTCTGTCCTACTCTAATTACTCTTGGAAGTCAGGGGGTAAATTTGATCCAAGAGCAACCTTTGGAAACTGCTTGGCTATGCCAGAATTAATACTGGACTTTGGGAGCTTTATATACACATTTTTTTTGGGGGGGGGAGGCTTGGAGTGAGCCTCTGTTCTCAAGGCAGTTCCTAAAATTCATCCCAATGGTTTTCCTCGTTTAAATCCATCTTAAACTCCTGCCCCAGACCAAATTGGGATGAGCTTTGTTGCCTTTTTGGTGACCGTAGCCCAGCCCCAGCCCCTTCCCACTCCTGCACAAACCACCTGGATGATTCCAGACGGTTCCCTTCCTGAAAAATCGTTATAAATTCCCACTTCATTCCACAACAAGATCACAGGAACCCACTGACCCCCATAACATCCCAGTGGGGAGGGGATGGAGGGGCTCTGCCCACAGCATCCTTCCTAAAAGTGGCAATTTCCGCAGGAAATTCAACAGGAAACTAAAAATAAAGATCCAAAAGCCAAAAAAATAAAGATCCACAGATCCATGCTGTCCACAGAGAAATCTCCTGCAGCTGCCACCAAGTTTGGGGGTCTGGAGCAGGTGGAGTTGCTCAGGATGTGCTGCTGAAATAAAAGCAGCCCCAGCGGAGCCATCCAGCATCCACATCCCACCTCTCCCGTGTCCTTCCCTCCCCGCATCCCTCCCGCTCCCTCGGCACGCCGGGAATGCCGGGCGGATCCCCGGAGCCGGGAATGCCGGGCGGATCCCCGGAGCCGGGAATGCCGGGTGGATCCCCGGAGCCGGGAATGCCGGGCGGATCCCCGGAGCCGGGAATGCTGGCGGATCCCCGGAGCCGGGAATGCCGGGCGGATCCCCGGAGCCGGGAATGCCGGGCGGATCCCCGGAGCCGGGAATGCTGGCGGATCCCCGGAGCCGGGAATGCTGCGCGGATCCCCGGAGCCGGGAATGCTGGCGGATCCCCGGAGCCGGGAATGCTGGCGGATCCCCGGAGCCGGGAATGCCGGGCGGATCCCGGGAGCCGGGAATGCCGGGCGGATCCCGGGAGCTCGGGGGAGCTTTAATGCCGGTGAATGGTCCCGTATCTCCGGGCAAACCCCGCCGAGAGGGCTCAGCGCCCGCAGGGTCACCTTGTCCTGTTTGCATCCAGCGGGACTAATTGGATTTTCCTGATAACAGCGGGCTCCGAGCAGGAAAAACGTGCATAACCCCCCCCCCCAGCCCCTCCCCGGGGGCTCACACACGTCAGCACCCACGGGGCCCCTTCCCCATCCCAGCCGGGGCAGGGGGGGGTCATTAACGGGGGATCCCACTGCTGTTTGCCAAGAAAAGTCAAAATCCTGCCCCTGGCTCTGGGGTCCAACGTCAGGATGTGGAGCTGCTGGGAGTGAGTCCAGAGAGGCCTTGGAGATGCTCCAAGGACTGGAGAACCTTTGCTTTGGAGACTGGGAGAGCTGGGGGGGTTCTCCTGGAGAAGGGAAGGCTCCAGAGAGACCTTGGAGCCCCTTGCAGGGCCTAAAGGGGCTCCAGGAGAGCTGGAGAGGGACTGGGGACAAGGGATGGAGGGACAGGACACAGGGAATGGCTTCCCACAGCCAGAGGGCAGGGATGGATGGGATATGGGGAAGGAATTCCTCCCTGTGAGGGTGGGGAGGCCCTGGAATGCATTTCTCAGAGGATGCCCAATCCCTGGAAGTGTCCAAGGCCAGGTTGGACGGGGCTTGGAGCAACCTGGGTTAGTGGAAGGTGTCCCAGGAGAACCCAGCAGGGGTTCCACCTGCTGCCAACGTGCATCCAGCACATGAGGCTGAGGCTCTGCAGGAGAACAGGGCTTTGTAGGGTCTCCCCAATCCCACACAGAGCAAGGCAGCCCCTTTCATCCCTTCTCTTCTCTTCACCATCTCCTCTCTGAGGTTGCTTGGAGCAACCTGGCTTAGTGGAAGGTGTCCCTGCCCACGGCAGGGGTGGGACTGGATGGGATTTAAGGTCCCTTCCAACCCAAACCATTCCAGGATTCCATGGTTCTGTGCCCAAAACCAGGCAGTGCCTGGTTGGGATGCAGGATCTGGGGCCTAAAGAATGGAGGGTTTGGGGAGGGGATGCAGGGGGGAGCATGAGCACGATGGAATCAGCCCCCACCCTCCCTGGTGACGTGTTTGCCCCTGTTTGCCGAGTCCTTCGTTCCCTGCCTGTCACCTGCCTTGGCCAGGTGCCCAAAGGAGGGGAGGGGGCATCTCCCGTTGGGCCCATTGGCTCCTGGCACTGCTGGTGGAATTCCTGCTGGCTTTATAAAGCCCCAGGAATTCTCCCTGGCTATCCTGGGACGATGCAGCTCCTCGTGCTCCTCTGCACTGCCTCTGCCCTCGCCCAGGGGCTCACCAGGTGAGTCACCACAGCATCACCCCGGGGTCACCTGAGCCAGGTGAAGGGAGAAGATGAGTAATCCCAGCCTTTTCATGGCTTTGGGATGTAGAGGTGAGGTCTGAGGCTTGGGAAAGCTGCTCCAGGGGTGCAGAGAATGATGGGGTGCCCGGGGGAGGGCTGGTTTCTAGGGTTGTTTTGGGGTTTTGGAGAAATCCTCCTGACCCAGAGTTTTTTGGAAGTTTCCTGTGTTCCTGGAACAGCAGGAGCATTGAAGGTGTTAAATCCTTCTTGCAGGAGCTGCAGGCAGCAAAATCCCATCAAACTCTTCTTTTTCTTTGTGGTTTTTTTTTTTCTTTTAATTCCTTCTTTCTTTTCCTCCTTGTTCCAGACTGCCCTTGGAAAGGGGGAAGAAGCTGCGAGAGATCCTCAGGGAGAAGGATTTGCTGTGCCAGTTCTTCCAGGACCATCACTATGACATTGGCACCAAATTCCCACATGCTTTTCCCAATGGAACCAAAATGGCCGTGGAGCCCCTGCTGAACGCCCTGGACGTGAGTGTGGGCTCTCATCCCCAGGGCGGGTTTGTGGGATGTCCATCCCTTATCTGCATGGACCAAACCCAAATCCTTTCACCCCAAATCTCACATTTTTCCCCTCTCCTTGCCCTGGACAGAGAGATGTCCCCCCAGAAGCTCTGCTGGAAGCAGGGTGCCCCCATGAAAAGGGAGACCATGAAAGTTGAAAGCCTGCGGAAGCTCCGGGCTTGGTTTCATGCCTTAAAATCCCCCCCTGTCCCTGCTGTCCCACAGGTGGAGTATTATGGGACCATCTCCATTGGCACCCCACCACAGGACTTCTCCGTGGTCTTCGACACCGGCTCCTCCAACCTCTGGGTTCCCTCTGTCTCCTGCACCAGCCTGGCTTGTCGTAAGTAAGAGCTTCCCATTTGAGCAGAGCCAGGTCCAGCTGCACATCCTGGGCTTGTAACTGAGCCTAAAAGTTGGGTGACATTGCCAGGGAACTGGGGTCACCCCCCTGGATCCATCCCATCCGTGCAGGGCTCTGGAGTGATGAGTGTTTGGGGTGTAGGACCTGCTCAGTGCTCGGCTCCACGGGGGGATAGGATTAGTGCTCACTGCCTCAGCTTCCCCACCTGTGATGGGAATTCCCGTGGACCCCTGGTTCTGGAGGAGGGGGAAGGACACGCAGCAAATTCTCACAGCTAAATTGTTCCCAAAGGCAGGATAATGAGCTTCCCTCCCCCCTTAGGCTTGGCCTTGCTCAGAGGCTTCATTTTGTGGTTTCCCCCTTATCCAGAAACCCACCAGGTGTTTGACCCCTCCAAGTCCTCAACCTACAGGAGCACGGGGCAGAGCCTGTCCATCCACTACGGCACTGGGGAGATGGAGGGAACTGTGGGCTCCGACACCGTCACCGTGAGTGTGTCCCCTGGGCCTTCTCCACCTGCTGACACCAGCATCCCAGTGCCTGATCCAAACCTCATGGCACCCTCCCCATCCTTAGGTTGCATCTCTGGTGGACACCAACCAGCTCTTTGGCTTGAGCACCGCGGAGCCCGGCGAGTTCTTTGTCCATGTCAAATTCGACGGGATCCTGGGCTTGGGATTCCCAAACCTGGCAGCTGGTGGGATCACGCCGGTCTTTGACAACATGGTGAATGAGAGCTTGGTGCAGGAGAACCTCTTCTCAGTCTACCTGTCCCAGTAAGTCCCGTGGATCCCAGGATGGGGGAGGTGGTGGACGCATCTCATGCGTGTTGTTGCATTTTGTGGTGGCTCCAGCTCTGTTGTCACTGTTGCCATCAGGTGTTGTCTCTATATCATGACATGCTGGGGGCCACCACACTCACTGGGGACCAGTTTCCAGGCACACGATTCCCTTTTTTGAGGTCCAAAGTCCTGCCCCTGCGCCGGTGCCGAGGGCGGTGGCCGTGGCCGTGCCATCACAATCAGTGTCTCACTCCATGGGACACACACTCCTGCTCTGAAGCCACATGGCAAAACTTCCCCTGGTTTTCTTTCCTTCATCACCCAGTGAGGCAACAGGGAGTGTGGTCATCTTCGGGGGCGTCGATGAGTCCTGTTTCACCGGCTCCATCCGCTGGATCTCCGTCTCTTACCAGGGCTACTGGCAGATCTCCATGGACAGGTAAATCAGCTCTGCTGGTCTGTGCTCACTTTGACATTGCTTCTAAAGAGACGGGGACCCACCACCATCAGAGCCTTTCCACTGCCATCTAACACCCCGTGGCTGAGGGATGAAGAAGTTAAGGGGCCAAAATCCGTAGTACTTTGGTAGTTGCCACCCAAAATTAGGATGCTTTGGGCCTGAGGCACAGCCCAGTTCCTACCCTGTGATTTTGGGGATGTCTCTGGTGATGAGTAGAGCAAAGTTATGGTCCCAAACCTCCTTTTTTTGGGCTCAGCTGGGTCTCACCTTGCCGAGCTGAGTTCAGTGCTCGTGTGTGCAACACTGGCTGTGTTCCCACTGGCACTGCAAACTCCAGGAGGGAAAAGGCTCAAGGGAAGAACTTTGGGTTCACCCAACTTTAATAAAAGGAGTTAAACCCCATCACTAGGGTCCATCTAGTTGTTTAATGCCCCCGTGGTTTGTCTCCCCTCCCAGCATCATCGTGAACAGCCAGGAGGTTGCCTGCAGTGGTGGCTGCCAGGCCATCATCGACACCGGCACGTCCCTTGTGGCCGGGCCACCCTTGGGCATCAGCAACATCCAGAGGGCACTTGGGGCCAGGCAGGACAGCAATGGAGAGGTGAGAGTCCTCCCTGCTCGCCCTGGAGCCCACCTGGCACTGTGGAGCCAGTGCCAAATCTGACTCCGTGCACAGGGACAGTGCTCATGGCAAACATCAGATACCTCCAGTAGAGCTCACGCTGAGACACCACCAGTGTCCACTTTATTCCAGGAAATCACAGAGTCAGAATATGCTGAGTGGGAAGGGACCCACAAGGATCATCCAGTCCAACCCCCGGCCCTGCCCTGGACACCCCAAAATCCCACTCTGTCCCTGAGATCATTGTCCAAACCTTCCTGGAGCTCTGACAGCCTTGGGGCCGTGCCCACTGCCCTGGGGAGCCTGGTCAGTGCCCAGCCACCCTCTGGGGGAAGAACCTTTTCCTGAGATCCAATCTAAACCCCCTGACACAACTCCAGCCATTCCTTCAGGTCCTGTCACTGGTCACAAGAGTAAAGCAATCTGTGCTGCCCCTCCACTGTCCCTCCTGAGGATATTGAAGACCCCAGCAAGGTCTCTCCTCACTCCTTGCCCTCTGAACACGTTGTTTCCCTCCTAAGAGCCCCTTCCCTCTGCTCCCTGCAGCACAGTGTGAACTGCAGCTCCGTTCCTGCCATGCCTGATGTCATCTTTGTCATCGATGGTCTCCAGTACCCTGTGTCTGCCTGGGCTTACACTGAGCAGGTGAAGTGGAACCAGCTGGTCCTGCTTGCAAGGACCTCTCAAGGTCCTTCTCCTCTCTCCAGTGGCTCTGTTTCCCTTGGCTTCTCCCATTCCCATGGGAGACAGCAGACGAGTGGCCATGAGCCTCCGGAGCTGTGCAAGGAAAGGCACCAGCTCACACCTCCCCCATTTGCCTTTTCTTGCTCCGCTGCAGCACGACCCAGGATCCTGCACAAGCAGCTTCCAGACCACCTCTGGAGACCTTTGGATCCTGGGAGACGTCTTCCTCAGGGTGTACTACAGCATCTTTGACCGGGCCAACAACCGCGTGGGACTGGCCAGGGCTGTTTAGAGCCACCCTGGTGATGTGGTTTCACCTCCTGCCAGACCACAGCCGTGGGTCTGGGCACAAATAAAGTGCTGATGGTTCAGAGTCGGTGGCTGCACGTTTATTCCTCATGGAATGGTGGGAATCAGGAAGGAGCTCTTAAACACCTGCTGCTTTGTGGTGATTTAGGAGCATTGGGTCATCACAGGCCTACAGACTTTAAGAGCTGCAGGGACTGAGGGGGGAAGCCCCTTTTATTGGGGCTATATCAAGAGAGTGATTTTGGAAAACCCAGATTTCCACCCAGGGAGGGTGAACTCACCATCCCAGACACAGCCCATGTCAGAGCAGATCCCTGCAGACCCACAACCATGTCCCACCAGTAGCTTCCATGTCCCATGACCCAGTAAATCCCCATCTCTGGGCTCAGGGCTGGGGTCAGGCAGCCCCAAAACATCTCAGGGCAGTGAATCCCTTAGGAAAATGTGGCTTGACTGGAGTTTTCCCTTGGACAACCCAAGAGAGCAGGGCAGGAAAAGGCTCTCACCCAGTACCTCCCATGGAGAGGCTTTTACAGGAGCACAGAACCTACAGAATTCCCATTTTCCTAAAGGAAACGACCTCCAGACACATTGAACCCTATTAAAAGTGGAGGTTGCCTCTTTCCCTGGGAGCAGCTGCACTGGAATTTCTCAGCAGGAAGCTGGGAAAGAAATCCAAGTCTCTGCTGCTTCATTCCTGCTGTGCTGAGGAAAAAGGAACTATTTGCATTATTTATTGATCAGTGAGGCTCCATCACTGGGCCTCATTCCCTACCTGATGGGAACAGGGATGTAGAGGGAAAAATCCAGGAAATCAGAGTTGGAAATTAATTTTTCTCTTCTCTCACTGTGCAAAAGTTGAGCTGACCATAAAGCAGGACGTGATGTGGGATGGTGGTGGTGTGATTTATCCCACCCCAACTCCCTGGGATCACACATTCCCAGGGTTCCCAGCCTCAGCTGCTGGGAATCCCTCGTGCCCAAGCAGAAGAGGGATGGCAGCCTGGATTTTGGGCAGAGGGACCTTTCTCTCAGCTCCATCACAGGAATTTTCTCACTGTTACGAGCAACAAGGAATGAGGCTGGTGCAGTGGGACCCACATCTCCAAGGATCAGTGGTCCATGGACCTTCCCTGCTGGGATGGACAAGACCTGCAGGAGCACCCAGGGGCTGTAGCTGTGCTCTGAGTGGGTGGGATGGGAGTGGGATGTTGGTCCTTGCCCCTAAATGCTGTGCCAGGAGGCAGATCCTAAACCCTCCTGGCATGGCCATCCTGCACCAGTGCCAAGGAGCCCCTGGAAAACATCACCCTGGAATGGGCTTCCTCCATGGGAGCATCCCTCCGGCCAGAAACACCCTTCTCACATCCATGTTCACACGTGCAATAAAGGAATGAACCAGCTAAAAGCTTCCAAGCATGAATTAGAGAGAGGGAAACCCACGTCTGGACTGTCTCCAGCAGGGAATGTCTGTCCTGGAGTGCCATCTCCTGGCGAGATCTGAGCTCCTGGGCACCAGATCCCCATCCCTGGAAGTGTCCAAGGCCAGGTTGGACGGGGCTCGGGGCAACCTGGGCTAGTGGAAGGTGTCCCTGCCCACGGCAGGGGGTGACTCTGGGTGGTCTTTAAGGCCTCTACCAACCCAAACCGTTCTGGGATTCTCGGGACATTCCGCTCCAAGGAGGAGGGAGATGTTTCTGGATGACGAATATTTCACGCCTGGCCTCAGGTTCTGATTTGTCCCAGGGAAAAAAAGCAGCCAGGAAACACCTTTCTGATAAAGCAGAAGACAGATTTCTTGCCTTCTTTTTAGCTTTTCCTTTGGCAAAATTTCCAGAGGGAATTCAGCCTGTGTGAGGGAGGACATGAAGGATTGGCTCCTTAGGGCTTGAGTCCAGAACAGGACTGTTACTGAGAGCTTTTTATGGATTTCACTGAGCTCTGAGCTTTGGGCTTCTATCTGGGAAGGCACCAAGCTGCAAACTGTGCAGGCAAATGGGGTTTCTGGCAGGTTTTTATCAAGCACCAGCTGAGTGTTGACACTTTGAATTCACAGCCTGGTTTTCCTCCCCTTTAGGATAAATAGGAAGTTAATGAGTCTGGAGGGGTTTAATGGCTCTGACCCCATCCTTGTGATATAAATCAGGGATTTGCTTTGGACCTGGCTTCCCACAGTGGATGGTGGGAGCCAAACTGCTGGGGAAACCTCTGCAGAGCTCACGGGTCTGGAGAGTTATAATTATCTGTTTTCCAGAGAAGCTGTGGCTGTTCCATCCCTGGAAGTGTCCAAGGCCAGGTTGGATGGGGCTTGGGGCAACCTGGGCCAGTGGAAGGTGTCCCTGCCCATGGCAGGGGGTGGAATGAGATGGGCTTTAAGGCCCTTGCAACCCAAACCCTTCTGGGATTTTATAATGTCCTGTGCTTCAACCCTCCCACACACAATTCCCAGCTGGGGACCAGTCAGAATTCCCAGCTGGGAGCAGCACAAAGCCAAGAACAAAAAGCTGAGTCCAAATAAACAATGTTTCCTGCATGCCAGACTTTGAAGCATTTATTCCTTTATTTGAAGATAAAGTTTACAAGTGAATAAGAATCAGGTTGTTCATCCTTTCATCTGTCCCTCCCTCCCTCCATCCATCACTCCATCCATTCCTCCATCCATCCATCCATCCATCCATCCATCCATCCATCCATCCATCCATCCATCCATCCATCCATCCATCCCAGCACCAGTATGGTCCATGTTTGCTGAGGGAGCAGAAGGAGTGAGGAGCTTATGGCCAAATATTTCCCAGCCCAAACCTTTTCATCAGTTTCCTGTGGTGATTTCCCGAGGAGTAAATATCAAAAGTGCTTCAGATTTGAGGGGCTGGGAGAAAAACTGGGGAGGGGACCATGAAAAACGTAAAAGAATGTAAAAAGTTTAAGTTTTCCAGAGGAAAAGGAAAGAGAAGCTGTTATGAAATGAAAATAAGGACGTGGAAGAGCTGCTGGAGAGAATTGAGTGATGAATGGGGAGGAGCTGGGGATGTTCCCAGCTGTTCCCAGCTGTGCCTTCTCCAGCTGTTCCCAGCTGTGCCTCCTCCAATCGTCCCCACAGACGAGCAGAACTTGAACAGAGTGGGAAGGAAATTAAATAGCTCTCACAGCTTCTCCTGCCTGAGATGATAGCAGGGGGTTTGCAAGGGATGGAGTAAAGAAAAGGATGGTGGAGGGATGGGGAAAAAAACAGGGGGAGCAGATGAAAAGATTTGTCCCAGATGAAAGAGGGTTTGTACTTGTTGTGTCTCAGATCCATCCCCTGGGATGCAAAACACCTTATTGCAGAAAGACAGTGCACAAAAAAAAATAAAAAAATGCCCCAAACCAACCCAACCACCCCCACCAATCAGAGCTGTGGGATTTCTGCCACGGGGAAAATCCCAACAAGCCCAAACTCGCATTTCCCATCACACCAGGATTAATCAGACCTAATCCCTGTTTCACCACTGCTTCCTGAATGAAGTTGCAAACCAGGGATGGTGGAACCTTCAGGAGATGAGACATCAAAGGTAGCAGATGTGGGATAACAGCAGATGGGAGACACTGCACAAGAAACTGTGATTTAATGGAGGCAGAGACATCCAAAGGAACAGCTGAGTGAGACAGTGAAGTGGCAACGAAATGTCTTTGTCAGAAGAAAACCTGCTGGCATTGGAGAGAAAGGCAAAATGAGCTGCTGCTGGCTTCTCCCATCGAAGTGCCACTGGAAATGTGCATGTTTTAGCAAATCAGAAGTGCCTTTTGACAACAGGGAAACATCGGGCCTTGTTTTTTCTCTGTGGATTTTCTCTGTGCCACATTTGCAGCAACAGAAGTGGCAATAAAAACTACAAGGTCACTGTGGCTTGTCCCCAGATGTGTTTGCATATCAGATAACCCCCAAACTGAGCATTTGTTGCAGGAGAAATCCCATTTTGTTGCAGGAGAAATCCCATTCCCTCTCTCAGAGCTCAGTTTTCCATCACAAACCCCGGTGCCCTGGATGTTCCTTGTGGCTGTGCCACCATCCCTGGTCACTATCCCTGTCCTTCTAATCCCCTCACCTGCTGGCTTGGGTCCATCCATCACTGCTGTGCCAGCAAAATTAATTAGTCAGGCAGACCAGGGAACTCATCCAGCTAAAAATATCCCTTCTAATTTCTTTTTGCCAGCTTATTTTTCAGGCAGAGCAGTCCAGGTCTGGGAATTGGTCAGATCCCCAGATCCGAAGTGGTAGGTGGGGAGGAATTATTTCAATGGATTAAAGAAACAGGGAGCTGGACCCACCTTCATCCCTGGCCAGTTGGGTGCCACCAAGCAAAGCATTTAATGTCATTTTGCCCTTTTTCATCTCCAGTAAATGGGGGAAATCTCTGAATGTGGGGAATTCCACTCTGATGCCACGGACAGAGGACAGATATGTCAAAGCAGATGAGCATCAAATAAAAAACACCAGACTGATGGGCAGGGCAGAGAGATAAGAAAGATGGTATTTATTTGAACAGCCACAGGAAATCAGAGATTGAAAAATGTCTAGAAAAAAAAAAAAAGCAGCAGCACATTTGGTTTAAAAAAAAAATAAAATTAAATCAGAGCATGCAGATATTTGATACCTTCTCCAGCCAATCCCACCTGACAGTGCCCAGTCCCACCATGGCCTCAAGCATCATTTTTTGGCCTTGTCTCGAGGGTAACCCCCATTGGTCTTATTGAGGGACTCCATGCTGCCGTTGCCCGTTGCCACGCTGGCCAGGAGCCGCTCCACCTCCCCGGGCAGGATCTGCTTCTCCTCGTTCTCCGTCTCCCTGTGGTAGAAATAGTTGAAGTTCGAGACGATGACGGGGACGGGCAGCGCGATGGTCAAAACCCCCGCGATGGCGCACAGGGTGCCCACGATCTTCCCCCCCAGGGTGGTGGGACACATGTCTCCGTAGCCCACCGTGGTCATGGTCACCACGGCCCACCAGAACCCGTCGGGGATGCTGGAGAAGTGGGACTGGGGCTCGTCGACCTCCGCGAAGTAAACGGCGCTGGAGAAGAGGATGACGCCGATGAAGAGGAAGAAGATGAGCAGGCCCAGCTCCCGCATGCTGGCCTTGAGGGTCTGCCCCAGGATCTGCAGCCCCTTGGAGTGCCGGGAGAGCTTGAAGATGCGGAAGACCCGGACGAGGCGGATGATCCGTAGGATGGCCAAGGACATGTTCTGCTGCCCGTTGAGTTCGCTCTGCTGGATCAGCTCGGTGGTGAGCGTCACAAAGTAGGGGATGATGGACACGATGTCAATGATGTTCATGATGTTTCTGAAGAACTCAGTCTTGCTGGGGCACACGATGAAGCGGACAAAGAGCTCGAAGGAGAACCAGACGATGCAGGCGGTCTCTATGACGAAGAAAGGGTCCGTGAAGGTGCTGTGGGCCAGCAAGGTGTCTGTCACATTCCTAGAAAGCTCCTGGGCGGACTTGAACTCCCTTTCCTCTCGGAACTCCGGCAAGGTCTCCATGCAGAAGATGATGATGGAGATGACAATGACCAGGACGGAGACCAAAGCTACGCCCCGGGCCGCACTGGAGCTTTCGGGGTACTCAAAGAGCAGCCAGAATTGCCTGTGAAAGTCATTGGTTGGTAAAAGGGTCTCAGGATCCTTGATGAACCCTTCATCCTCTCTGAACTGGTCCATGGCTTCATCACCCAGCTCATAGAAGGTGATTTCATCGGCAAAGACGTCGATGGGGACGTTGGCCGGGCGCCGTATTTTCCCACCAGACTGGTAATAGTACAGGATCCCATCAAAACTGGGCCTGTTCCTGTCAAAGAAATACTCATTCCTCATGGAGTCGAAGTAGCGCATCCTCTTTTCCGGGTCCCCGAGCAAGGTCTCAGGGAACTGGTCAAGGGTCTTGAGCCGCGTCTCAAACCTCAGCCCAGCGATGTTGATGATGACTCGTTGGTCCCCCTCATCCATGCCCACCCTCTCCCCCACCAGGTGGTCGCTGAACTCGGCAGAGAACCTGGAGAAGATGGTCTCATTGTTGGCGTTCTCGCTGTTGATGAGGATCCTCAGGTTGGAGAGCAGGTTGGCGCAGCTGGGGTGGCCTTTCCGCGACTGCCCGGCGGGGCTGAGGTCGTTTGAATAACAGGGATCCTCCACGATCTGATCAGCGTTGTCAAAACTGACTAGTGCCACCTCCATCTCCTTCCAACTGGACACGTCCATCATACACTAATCAGATTAGCAGCATAAATCCCCGGATCCGACGCCGGCAGCTCGAGTCTTTCCCACGCTATGAGGATCTGCAAGGGAAGGGAGAGGGAGACGATGCTGAACTGGGCTAAGCACACAGGTCACTTGGAGAGCATCTTTCGGGCCATGGGGTGGGTAATTTCCCAGACTGGCTCTGCCAGGTGCTCGGGAACAGTCACTGTGTCCCCAGAATATTCCCGGGCATCTCCCCAGCACAGCACTGACATTGCTCTGAACTCGGAGCAAAGTCAAAGAGGAGCCCAGGGACCAAGTTATGGAGCTGGGAAATTACCTGTCCTGCCTCAGGGAGAGAAATCAGATATTACCATGGAACAGTTCTGGGGAGATTTGCCCCAAAATGAACTTTCCAAGTAAACTCAACATCCTGATTTATTTCCCTCCAAATATGTTCTCTGGACAGGAGACACGACAGAGGGGCATGTGGAGCTGCTCTGTGTGACCATGGATCACCAAGGGCACAGTGGCTTCCTTACCCAGGGAACTTCAGCAGAAGGGAGTGAAAAAACCCAGGTGCCCTGGACAGCCAGGAATAGCAGCACAATTTAGGCCACGGAGCAGCAGCGACGCTGGGGTCGGTCCTGTGACGAGGACGGTCCCCAGCGCAGGGTTTGCTTAGTCCATCCCAGTGCTGAGATGATATCCGTGGAGACCGAGCTGCTCCCGGTGCCTCAGCATCCCAATTTCACTGAACTAATTCAGGGCTGTGAAGTTTCTTCCTCCCCAGGAGCAGATTTGTGCATCCTTGCTGACATACAGCCGGGAAAGGGGGGTAGGACAAGCCAAAAACCCAAATCTGTTGCAGAAATAGACTTTAACATCCTGTCTTGTACAAATCCTCCCTCTTCTCCTCTCAGCTTTACAGCCCTGGCAGCAAAACTTCCTACAGGAACCAGCATCCACATCCCAGACAAGGGTTTAACCTCACTCTTTCCTCGGCGGAGATTCTGGATTTGGGGACAAATCCCAAAATTTATGATAAGCTGTTTACAGACCATGTTCCTTTGCTTAAACCAAAGCCACAGAGCACGGCTGTTCTTAGGAATCCATCCCTATGGAACTACTTTGGGCTGGGTTTGTGCCAGTTTTCCCACTTGGAGACATGGAGAAAAGAGTGTTTGGGGCAGGGGGGCAGAACTGATGCCTGGAGGAAGCAGCAGACACATGATTTTGCCCCTCAGTGATGTGCTACAAATCTGAGGAGCCCCAACAGCTCCAAACCCGAGTCCTCCAGCCCCAGTTATGTCCAGCTTGGAGCTGCTCCAGCCCAAGGACCAGCTCTTCGTGTGGTTGGATTCTTCCCAGGCTTAACTATTTAGTGACTCTGTGAAAGGTGGTGCTGGAGGGACAAAATGTAACATCAGAGCAACAACCCAGAGCTGTGGATAACCCTGATTTCAGGAGCATCAGGAGGCAGACAAAGGGATATCACAACAAGCCTGGCCCAGATAACGCTCTTTTGGATCTTTTGAGGGAAAACTAAGTATAAAAGAAAAAAGAAACAGCAGCACAAATCATTCCCTCCTTGCATCCTTATTTTTTTCCTTAATATAAATCCTCCCAGATGATTTTAAATCCAAAAAAAAAGTAAAGAAAACAACTTTGAATCAGACTTTAGTGTTCAGAGGATGCAGGAGCTGACCTGACCCATCACACCTCCAGCCTGAAGGGAGAGCCCAGAGGGGTCCACCTGCCCAGGAGCTTCTCTTGGCAGTGGGACAAAGCCAGAGCAGCTAAAACTGGCCATGGAATTGCATCCTAAGGTAGCACCATGAGATGACCTTGGTATTTTAAGCATTAAGTGCTTATTAACTCATAATACTGCTGGGCAAGGAAGTTCCCCAGCCCCTGTTTGAGGGATGTCTTCATCCCAAGATTTTTGGTTGCAGAAGGAATTGTGATGTCTTCAAATCTGGCTTTGCTCTGGAGCCTCCATGAACATCAAACTGAGCCCCCCCTGCATCATCCCTTGTGGGGAAACTGAGGCACAGAGCTGTGATGGGACAATTTACACACCATGGGCAGGGCTGAGGGTGGAAAATTGTCCCCACTGGGACAGGGAAAGGTGATTTTCAGCTCTGTTTTAAGCCCTTGGGACAGCGTCCCACGGGATGCAGGGCTCTGAGGTTCCTTTTCCTGCCTTAAAGCCCCCAAATATGCTGATGTCTGTCTGTCCCAACACCAGACGGACGTGCCCCACCCGTCCCCAGGCCCCCACACCGCCTTATGTGTCTCCTTTTTCACTTAGACCAAAATTAACAGCCTGTCCTGAAGCCACAAAATCCCCTTCCAAAGCTTTTCCCTGCGCTCCGGCCGAGGCTTGAACTAGAAAGTTGCCTCTTTTTTTCCTCCTAAATCACCCAACATCTGCTTCTCGGAATCTGATTAACTGATATCCTTCAGCAGAAATCCCTGGCTGCAGAAAATAATGATAATAATAATAAAAACCATGGGAGGGGGAGCAATGGAGAAGAGAAAGGTCATTTTGAGGGAGAGTTTGTGTTTTGTCCATCACATCCCAGGAAACCAGGGCTGTGGTTCCCACCAGCCCCTCTGTATCCATCAAAATCTGGAATTTCCCTACACTTCCCATTCATCCCACTTTCATCTCCCTCACTCTCCCGAGGCAAAAACTGTCTGTTTCCAAGGTTTTATAGAAAAATGGAAATGCTGTCGCCCCATCCCCTCCCCGTGACCCCTTCATGGGATGGGAAGGGGGGTGGCTCTTCCCGTTGCCCACCCACACGAGCACCCACAAGGACTTACCTGGACAGGGCACGGAAGTGCCAGAGCTCTCTGCATCTGGGAAAAGAGTCATTAACCACACATCGAGAGGTGTAGGGAAAGCAGAGATGGAAAAAAAACCAGTCCAGCCATACCCTGGGAAGATCCCTTTGGGATAACGCGGCCAACGTCATTTGAAAGGCTCCTCTCCCTTAGTTTCCCCGTGTCGTTGGCCGGGGGTGGATTTTGGCAGGCACGGCGGTGGCACCCGGCACAGTTCGGGGCCGCCATCCCCCCGGGAGCCCTAAAACCAGCTGAGGGGCCACGAGGAAACGGGACTGGACAGGTGCAAGGGGCATCCCATTCCCGGGCTCCACTCGCCTGGGGAGGGGGGACGCGGCCACCCGGCTCCTGCCCCCACCCGCCCGCCGGGCAGGGAGACGGGGAGGATGTGCCCTTCTGGCTGATGCCACCTTTAATCCCCAACAAAGCTCCGGATGGTCCAGCGGGGACAGGTCTTGTCGGTGACGTGGAGAGGTCTGAGCTGGTCCCCGGGAGAGAGGCTGAGAGCGGGGACGGGGACCCGCACGCCGCTGGCACCGGGAGAGAGATTCCCAGCAGGAGAAAAGGGCTGCTTTTAGCATTAATATCTAATAATGATGGGAAAAAGAGAAGGGGAGGGGAAAGCCAAGGGTCGAAGCATCCCCCGGTGCCCACCTACCTCTTGCCTGTGGCCACGGGGACAGCGGGAGCTTTTCCAGGAGGGGACAGTGCCACCACCACGTGGGACATCTCCTGTTCCCACCCCGGGATGACTGGGACCAGTTGCAGCAGCAGGTACAGCTGGCACAGCCCTGCTGAGGGCATCACTGGGGAACAAGGGAGAGGGGTTGTGCCCCTTCCTCACGCCTGGATCCCAGCTAGCTGCTGGATTTATCAGCTCTGGTAATTAACTAATAAATCATTGAACACTCAGGGCAGATGGGACGGGGCAGGTTGGCACCATTCACCAAAATAACTGGGATTTTGGGTTTCCTTTCCCGTACTTTCTTTCTTTCCATTCCATGCTCATGGCCATCCTCATCTTGGGTGCTCCAGAGGGGTTTCATCCCTCCTGGGTGGATCCCACCTCTACCTTCACCCAGGTTACCTTCCCACCCTCCTCGTCCTCCTCCTTCATCCCCTCGTCCTCCTCCCAGGCATTTGGGAAGGCAGAGGAGGGAGTGGCACATTTCTCCCCGTGTACTTCAGCCTGGATTCCTCCACGGTGACGTTCTTTTGCTCTTGAGGGACACGGTCACCTCGATTTCCCTCCCTGCAGCACCCTTGGCTGTCCTCTGAGGTGTTTCTCCCGCCCTGTGACGTTAATGAGCACATTAAGCCTCCCTGTCCCAGAGGAGAGCCCAGCTTGGAGCATCCCATACTCATCTCCAGCCTTCTGTGATGGAAAGGGGACATGAGATTATCCAGACCTTTGATCAGGCCCTTCAGGGCTGCTTTATCATTTTATGCACCCCTTCTGCACCTGTATGGATTACAGTCCTTACATTTCCTCTCATCCCATTGAGGCAGCTGAGGATCTATTGAGAAAAAAGGAATTAAACTGATATTCTTGGCACTTCAATTCACCCTGTATCCATTTCCCCTTCAAACCCAGCTTTGGCAGGGCTTTGACCACAGGGTGATCGGGTTTATAGGCAAAGTCTGACCTCATTTGAGGTTTTTTGTCCCTAACATCTGCCTAGAACTAACCAGGGTCACATCCTGCACCCAGACAAAGAACATCTGTGGCCAAGGGAAATGCAGAGAGTGAAAACCATCCAGAGGCCCCGCTGATCTGGCTTGTGCTGGGGCTGAGAAGCTTTAGCAAAACCCCGCTGTTAACAGGAATATCCCTGCAGCCAGAGCAGGGTTGTGGTCCGGGGGAGACGGGTCCGGGGGGAGATGCCCGGAATGACATCGCTGCCTCCAAGAAATAGGACGGTTACACAACTCCCTCTCCAGAGGGTTTGGCTGCACCCTGGACACCCTCAGGAAATTCTGCCTTTGTGTTCAGCCAAGGTGACTTTAAAAAGCCTTTGGCACTAGGATTTCAACCTCCCCCAGCCAGGCTGCTCCAGGCATTCCTCTGGCGCTTCTTTCCCTCTAATCCTCTGCTCTGCGCTCCTGGTGTCCCCAGCACTGCTGGAATTTATCCCAAATTTGGACCCCAAAGGGTGTTCTGCATCCAGGAGGGACCAGAATGCAGTGAGTGATGGCAGGGGAGCACTGCCCAGGAGCTCTGCACACACAGCTCTGGCACCAGAA